TCTAAGCATACACTTGCCATGCTTACCACGGTCCCTATCGACGACAGCTGGCTGAGAATGCATAGATACATTGCATTCTCACTACACAACAGTTACTGGCTTCAGGGAAGTGTCTGGATATTATTTAAGTGATCAATTACTGAATAAGAATACATTGTCAGTCCGGTACTCCGGACTTACATGTTGTCATGTCCCTATGACACCATTATGACACGCCACATATGTATGGTAGTGAATCCCGCCTAGAATTTTCTCTTGTAACCAGGTGTCCGAAAGGATATATAACCCTCAGAAGAGGGATAAACAAAGTTACCTGTTAAGTGAATACAATTGTTTAACACTTCGTATATGTTGCAAGCATTTTCACTCTACTGTGCTGGGGATTGGTGTCAAAGGACGGATAGATCGATTGTTAGGTGCAACACCAACGATGTACCATTAATAAGAATCTGAAAGGAGGAGGAGTTTCCTTAGAGGAGGAAGCGACAAGAGACTACTGATTCCTATGGAACAAAATAAATCCTTTCTAGCACACTTTTACTAGCTCCTTTGCAGCTTATACATTGTTGCTTTCAGATTAATATATCCCAATTCCAATTTGAATTCGAAGTTGATCTTAACACTTACACGCCTGTTACGAACTTTCATAAAAAATTTTAATTTGGTTTGGTTGTGCTCATCTGCCGTTCTGCCTGTTTCATTTAACAAAAAAATTAATGAAAAACTTGGCGCACAAGGACTCGAACCTTGGAGGTGGGACACCATATGATTTCTAATCATACCCTTTAACCGCTCAGGCATGCGCCAGATATTAATCAAATACAGTTTTTTAATATATATTATTTGCAATGCTGATTTGTGTACAAAATGAAGCTCTGAACGAAGCTCTGAAAACCCTAAAACCCTATCCTATACTCGTCCATATGTTTAACGACACCAATTCAACCTAAATCGGTGACGTTTTGTAAAAATACTTTGGTGGTGCAAGCACGCGAACATGGGCAGGAAGTACGCTACACAGTAGGAGGGAGGCAGTGTTCAAAATTATAAAGAACAGAATGGGAGTTTGATAGTCGCTCAATTCTGCGGTCAATGCCAAATAGTTCCGTCCGCAAAGCCACAACTATTGAGTTCGCAGCTAGAATTTGCCTGACTCTTACTGTCTTTATTTTCAACGCAAGGAGTCGCGCGTGTTTATCGATTTGAATATGGCAGGCTCATATGCTGGTTTCATCCCAGAACAACTTCTGGCAACTAACTCGCACAGGCTAACTTGCACATTACCATGTACCGGTTGGCAAGCGAAAACAGTCTGTTATAATTTCTTCAGCTGGGAAAGTTTACTAGCTATTTTAACGGATTGCGAGGCGCAGATGCTCAGCACGGGTAGGCTGTATCAGGCTAGACACATGTTATCGTCTGTGGCATCAGCATACGGCTCCCGCGTGTATTTACTCTCACCTCCGTATCTGCGAGAGAGGAGTAATCAATTATACATGCTGATTACGTAATTGTATCTGTGACCAAGTAATCATATATACATGCTGAGTACGTAATTGTCTCTGTGACTAAGTAATCATATACATGCTGAGTACGTAAATGCATCTGTGACCAAGTAATCATATATACATGCTGAGTACGTAATTGTATCTGTGACCAAGTAATCATATATACATGCTGAGTACGTAATTGTATCTGTGACTAAGTAAAAATATATATACATGCCAAGTGCGTGCTTGAAGGACCACACAGCACATGTAAAGTATTCGGGAACGTTTCTTGATTTAGATATCAAAACAGTTTAGTTGTCACCTGTGTACAACTGGACGTTTGGTCCCTGCGGGGTTCGAATACGATACTGCTTAGCAACGGATAGACGTGTCCGAATCGAATCGACTAACAACCAGCATGGCAGGGAAGAATAGGATTCCCGGTCATTCCGCATGTACAATATGCACTGAACATTCATGGATGTACCAAGCTTTGTGGATATGGATACAAATTGATATATGATATTTTATGACCACGTTATTCGAATTATAAGTAGCGCATTTAGTTATTTTCTCCAAGTTAAGGGCATACATTTCCGGCAGTTCTGAAGCGGGTATGAATTTCATTAGTTTGGGGAAATCGCTATTCAAGAAGCGGACCTTGTCCAGCGTCCGTTCATCCAGAAAGCCTTTGCAGAAGTTGTAGACACCTGCAGATTCACATCATCCAAAAACAAGCATTGCAATAGCATTTAGTGTCAACTGTGTGGTAGTGGATAGATAAGCATGTGTACAGAATTGGGCCATGCGATTGGAATCATTCGTGAGTAGATAGCATAGGTCGGTTGCTAACCAAAACTTGTACAAGCACGTGCACAGCGCCTATTGGTACGGTCGGGGGTATCGATTGTGTGGGACCTGTCCGTCGTATGAAAGATTAAGACCCCACCGCCGAGTGGGTGTATAGTCTGTGGTGCTTCTTGCATCACCCTAGCATGAATCTCAATGACCCTCACGAAGCTTATACCATTTGTGCTGAACAGGGACTTTCGCATAACGATGACATTCAAACGACACAATCATATTGCCACGTGTTAAGTCCACTGCGATAGTGACCGTACTGAACAATCAAACCGCCAACCACTGACTATTCGCGTGAACTTATACTTCTGGACGATCCGCCCATGAGATCAGTATTACAACACACTACACGCTCCGCACATGGTATGTATAACAATGAGTACGTTACATGGTTGGTATAACAATGAATACGTTATATGGTATGTATAACAATGAGTACGTTACATGGTATGGGTAGCAGTGAGTACGTTACATGGTATGTATAACAAGGAATACATTACATGGTATTTATAACAATGAGTACGTTACATGGTGTGCATAACAATGAATACGTTACATAGTATGCATAACAATGAGTACGTTACATGGTATGTATAACAATGAGTACGTTACGTGGTATGTATAGCAATGAGTACGTTACATGGTATGCGTAATAATGAGTACGTTACATGGTATGTATAACAATGAGCACGGTACATGGTATGTATAACAATGAGTACGTTACATGGTATGGGTAGCTGTGAGTAAGGCTGTGATCAGGTGTAGTCTACAAGTGGATGCGGTCCGTGCAGTATCTGGCCTGTGATGTGTTGCAGTATGACGTAGTGGTGTGGTGTGTTGTAACATTCGTACATTATACCTTTGTGGCCTGAGATATGCTCGTATCAGTAGTGTAGGTATCAGTAGTGTAGGTATCATAGTGTAGGTAGACACCATTGTATGCGAGTCGCAAGCGAGTAGGTGCGCCATATGTCTAAAACCCTAAACCCTCAAAACCCGTTCCATCATATCCTACACACCCTAAACCCTAAACCCTATACCTTATCCCATATAATACCGAACTTGTGAATCAGTTTACCTCGCACAGCGTATGGTGTGTTGATCACAAACAACCGCTTCGTAATCTCAGGCAGACAAGAGCTTCCGATCCTGGATGAACGGGTGAGATCGGTATTCGATATCAATTGAACGGTATGTATTGAGAAGCGTCTCGTATTGTGTTGCCGATATGAATGGGTCTCACCAACGCAGATACCAACCAGTTATGAGATACAGGCCTTTTGAAATTATGACAATCACATAACTAATGATCTGGGGGCACACAAACACCAGAATACAAATCGGGTCCACTTTGAGTAATTTTGGCTGCAATACGAGCTTGCTTGGCTTATCAGTCAAGGGATACTGGCATATATCTACACATACATACATACATACATACATACATACATACGTACATACATACATACATACACACACACATATACATACATACACACATACATACATACATATATATACATGCATACAAACGTACATACATACATATACATACATACATACATACGTACATACATACATACATACATACATACACAGATACACACATGCATACGTACGTACGTACGTACATACATGCCTACATGCATACAAACATACAAACATACAAACATACATACATACATATATATATATATATATTAAACGTTTTTGCTAGTACGACTCACGGTTTTAGGGTTTTTAGGACCCTGTACGTCATATATATATCTCAGTACGAGTAGGTACACTACATACACCATATACAAGCCCATTGTAGTACCCCTTTCACATACGTACATACTTGATCAATTCCTGGTACATGGTCAAATCCACATTCGTGCGCATAGAGAAACCTTTACAATCGACCACAATATCCGCATATCCACGAGTGGGGTTTAGACGCATCACCTCCTGATGAATGACCTCGGCAAAATGCTCCAGTGCTCTAATCGTTGTATTCTTCACCATGAAACTGTTGGTCAGTAACAATCCATTCGTATACTGTGAGTTGATATAATTGCACGCATTCACGGGCGGATGTGTGTGTGATTGATATGTGTATGTGTGTGATGGATGTGTGTACGTGTGTTTTGTATTTATGTATGTGTGTGTGTGTATGATGTGTGTGTATATGTGTATATGTGTGTGATGTGTGTGTGTATGAGTGTGTGATGTATGCGTGACGTGTAAAATGCATTTATGTATTTGTGTGATGTATGTGTGTATGTGTGTGTGATGTATGTGTGTATGTGTGTGTGATGTATGTGTGTATGTGTGTGTGATGTATGTGTGTATGTATGTGTGATGTATGTGTGTATGTGTGTGTGATGTATGTGTGTATGTGTGTATGTGTGTGTGATGCATGTGTGTATGTGTGCGATGAGTTAGCGCCAGGTAAGTAAATTACAAGTGCGTGTGTGTGTGCATATATAATATATATGTGCATACATGGTGTATATGTGTGTATGCGGGTGTGTGTATATAACAAATCTGTGCATGCATCTGGTATAAGTGTGTATGCGTGTGTGTATTTCATATATATGTGCATGCATGTGGTATGTGCGTGTATACGTGTATGACGTATGTGTGCGTTTGAGCAAATCACGATAATATAGGAAATCTCGGCGAAACGCTTCAGTACCCACACCGTTATACTGTTCAAATAAAAATGTGCGTGACTAAAAGTTCATACGTATATTGTAAGATGTTGATTAGAAGTTCGTTCGTATATTGTGAGATGTTGGTACAAACGCGTGGATGTATATGTGTGGGTGTAATGTGGGTGTGATGTATGTGTATGCGTGGTGTATACTTATGCGTGATACACACACACACACACATATATATATATATATAAATATATAAATATATAAATATATATATATATGTATATTTGTATATATATATATTTATATATATATATTTGTGTATATGATGACGATGTGCATATAAATATATAGCAATAGCTACAGACGCTTGTAGCTGTTCCGATATACCATCTGTACATACGTATGTAACTTATAACTGACCAGCTGAAAGTCTCAGAATCAACATACTCCAATGGGTTTACTACTAACAATTAACGGTAAACGTACTACTTCTTTTAACTCAAAACGTACTACTTCTTTAAACTTACTTTCCCACATTGACGTACATCACTGGATCCTGTTCCGTATCCATGCCATGGAAATGGACCATTCCTGCAGGCAAGCCATGTGTAAGATCACAGATATATAGGTGACGTACATGAGGATGAGTTCATATATATAATATCTATAGATATTCATAAACACATCCTCATGTATGCCACATGTATATATGTGTCACACACGATGATGAGTGCATAGAAATCTGCAGATATATATATGTGACATACATGAGGATGTGTTCATATACATCTACAGAGATATATATATATATGTGACATACATGAGGATGTGTTCCTATATATCTACAGATATATATATTGACATACATGAGGATGTGTTCATATACATCTACAGATATACATACGTCACATATATGTATGTACTTATATCATCATATAAAACAATAGTTTAGGCTTAAACTACCCATGCGTCCGACATAGGGCGTGCAGCAGGAGCCTAAACCCTAAACACACTTCACAATTGAACACAGAACTGCACGCACGCACGAACATGGGCATGACATGAAACGCCGTGGCTTTAAATCAACACAGCGGCAATACGATGGAGAGCCAACTGAAGAGGCGCAAACGGTCCAAACAAGTGGACAGGTGCATGAAGATACTGGGCATGTGTACGTAGATAAAAAAAATCACAAGATAGGTGGGGCTGAGATATTTCGTTGCGTAATACGTAGGTGCTGAGGATCGATGCAAGTGACTCTGTGTATGCACGTGTACATGACATGCCGTGCTGAGACACCGCTGCGTGTCATGTGAAGACAGACAGACACATTCCCACCCAACGTATGTGAACTTTGAACCGAGGCACGAGCCAAATAGAAACACAAGATAGGTAAGATAATACCAACACAAGATAGATAAGATATACACAAGATAGATACGATAATATCAACACATGATAGATAAGATAAACACAAGATAGATAAGATAATATCAACACAAGATAGATTAGATAAACACAAGATAGATAGGATAATATCAACACAAGATAGATAAGATAATATCAACACAAGATAGATAAGATAAACATAAGATAGATAAGATAATATCAACACAAGATAGATGGCATATAGGCCATCCATGAAGGGTCGTGTGTAGCTTGTTGTTGTGTGTAGCTTGTAGTTGTGGTTGCTTCGCTTGTTGTGCTGAGGTGTTTCCTTGGGGGTGTGTTATATGTCAGACTGTGTGGTGTAAACTTGAGGTGCTTGCTACGACATGTACTACAGCACAAGAGTGCGGCAACGATAAAGGAAGGCGGTCATTGTATATATTCTACTAATAAAAAACACGGGTATAACTTAAATTAAAAACATATGTATGAATTGAATTAAAAACACATGTACAACTTCAATTAAAATACATGTATAACATAAATTCACGAACATATATAACTTAAATTAAGAACACATGTAGGAACTAAATTAAAAAACATGTATGAAATATATTAAAAATACATGTACAAAATATTGAAAACACATATATAACATAAATTAAAAACACATGTATAACATAAATCAAGAAACTCAATTTAAAAACACGTGTAACTTAAATTAAATCACATGTAAAGCTTGAATTGGATGTACACCGATTATGTCCACACGCAACATACCAAACTTCAAGACATCCAAACACTCCGCCGCACGGTTGGGGTTTAGTGCGTCCCTCCATTCGTAGTAGCTGCACAATTGCGGGTGGAAGTGTGAATACAGATCGCATATCTATATATATATATATATAGACATATACATTACTAAATTCTACTGATTCACAGACTAGCATAGTACTCAGATTTCTTATGCCTCTGTTGTATAATTGTATTTATTTATTTATTACACTTATATACCGCTTTAGTACTGATGTATTCTATGCAGCTGATTGCACATATGTGCATGTACTTAGAAATGGATAGTAGATAAATGAATACAATAAATAGAATATAT